CAAAAAGAAAAAAGAATCCAAAAATATGAAGATAGTGTAAGGAGCCTCTGGGACAACTTCAAGCTTACCCAACATCCAAATTATGGGGGTGCCAGAAGAAGAGAGAGAGCAAGATATTAAAAACCTATTTGAAGAAATAATGACAGAAAACTTCCCCTACCTGGTGAAAGAAATAGACTTACAAGTCCAGGAAGTGCAGAGAATCCCAAACAAAAGGAATCCAAAGAGGACCACAACCAAGACACATCATAATTAAAATGCCAAGAGCCAAAGACAAAGAGAGAATCCTAAAAGCAGCAAGAGAAAAACAGTTAGTTACCTACAAGGGAGTACCCATCAGATTGTCAGCTGATTTCTCAATAGAAACTATGCAGGCCAGAAGGGAGTGGCAAGAAATATTCAAAGTGATGAATAGCAAGAACCTACAACCAAGATTACTTTACCCAGCAAAGCTATAATTCAGAGTTGAAGGTCAGATAAAGAGCTTCACAGATAAGAAAAAGCTAAAGGAGTTCATCACCACCAAACCAGTATTATATGAAATGCTGAAAGGTATCCTTTAAGAAGAGGAAGAAGAAAAAGGTAAAGATAAAACTTATGAACAACAAATACATATCTATCAACAAGTGAATCTAAAAATCAAGTGAATAAATAATCTGATGAACAGAATAAACTGGTGAATATAATAGAATCAGGGGCATAGAAAGGGAGTGGACTGACAATTCTCGGGGGGAAAGGAGTGGGGTGCGGGAAGAGACAGGAAAAAAATTGTACACCTATGGATGAGGACAGTGAGGGAGGTAAGGGCAGAGGGTGGGGTGGGAACCGGGTGGAGGGGAGCTATGGGGGGGGGGAGGAACAACTGCAATAATCTGAACAATAAAGATTTAATTTTTAAAAAAAGGAGGAGGAGGAAGTGGTCAGTTGTGTTGAAGGCAGCAGAGAGGCCTCAGACATATCCAGTGGATTTGGCAATTACCATATAGTGAATTTGGCTAGAGCCATTTCAGTTGAGTGGGGGTGAAAAGAAGTTAGGTTGTAGAGTGAAGTCGGAATGAGGGAATGTGCCAGATGTCTCCCCTTTGTCCCTCCAGATACACTCTCCCCTTCACCACTCTGCTCTCTGTCCCAAATATAAGTCAACTTCAAAAGGTTCCCATGACTCCATTGAGTTTGGCCAACAGTGAACCCTGGAGATTGGAGGGAAGATGGAGAGTGAGGTGGGGACATATAGTCCCCCAATTCCTTCCTTACAGAGTCTGCTTCATTCACTCAACCCAAGGGTACAGCTCTCTCCAGCTGGGTTCAGGTAACCTTCCACCTTTTTTCAGGCCCTGGAGTGGTAGTACTTCTGCTCTCCTAGTTCTGGGGTCTTCTCTCACCCCTTGTGTTTTGCTCCATACTCTCCACACCTTTATAGAGTTATTTATTAAACTTTCCATGAACTATCCTAATCTGAACACACCATCCATGTCTTGCTGGAACCCTAAACAATGAGGGGAGGAACCTTGGCTGGGGACGATAAAGAGAAAGACAGGGAGGTTTTATCATGGGGTTTATTTTTTAAGGTTTGAGGGGCTTGACTATATTCACAAGCTTATAAGGTTTCTACAGCTTACTTCAAAGGTGTGATCTAAGCTGAAGGAAGACACAGGTAGAGAGTTCTTTGTGAGCCTCTGGAGTTGATGACATTACAAGTGGCCTCACCACTGTTGCTCAAGACATTCTAAAACCTGTGTTTCTGGTTTGACCAAGACAGTCCATCTGCCAGGTTTGCCTGTGGCTGGTTTGGCAAGTGTCGGTTTGAGCAATGAGCTGATGGAAAAGTAGACAGTCTGACGAAGGAGAAAGAGCAAAGGTCAGGACCTTAACAAACCCTGGCACACCTCGGTGCACCAAGACAGTCAGACGATGAACAGAGTCAGTGGTGTTTTTGAAACTTTGCACGGCTCTGCCTGACCCGGCCTTGTTCTTGCATTTCTGCAGGTCACTGATTCCATCACACTGCTCTGACTCTCCGGCCTCCTTTCTCTTTCTCAAATAATAAAAGCTCTGCTCTGCCCTGAAGCTTGAACTCTGTCCTTCCCACTGCCTGCAACCTGGCATTTCCCAGCTCTTCCCCCTCAGATCTCATATGAGCACCACTTCCTCAGCAGGCATGCCCAATCCAACCCAGTCCCCCTTTGCTATCTCCTCCAGAGGGCCCTGCACTTCTCTTTCATTGCAGTCACATCTCAAAATTTATTGAGGTGGAGAATTTTTTTACATGGTTTATTATTATTATTATTATTATTATTATTATTATTGATTTCCTAGAGGAAGGAAGAGGGAGAGAGAGAGAAACATCAATGATGAGAGAGAATAATTGATCGGCTGCCTCATACATGCCTCCTACTGGGGATTGAGTCCACAATCTGGGCATGTGCCCTTGACCAGAATTAAACCCAGGACCCTTCTGTGCACAAGCTGACACTCTATCCACTGAGCAAAAGCAGCTAGGGCGAGGTGGAGAATTTTTTTAAGTTTATTATTATTATTATTATTATTATTGATTTTTAGAGGGAGAGGGAGAGATAAAAACATCAATGAAAGCGAGACATCATCGATCAGCTGCCTTCTGCATGACCTCCCAACCCTGGGATCCAGCCTGCAACCTGGACATGAGCCCTGACCTGGAATTGAACCAGCAACCTCTTGGTTCATGGGTCCACACTCAAACACTGAGCTACACTGGCCGGGCCAGGTGGAGAATTTTATTTAGAAATCCTCCTATATTTTCTTATAAGCTTTTTGTTTATTTTTACATCTAACTCTTTAATCCATCTAGTGTTTATTTTTATATGTGGGATAGAATAGGCACCCTGTTGCAGTCCGCACTTCTCTAGCACTTTGTTGGACCCTCCTACAGCTCTTCCTTTCACTCACTCATCCATTCAATGATTGTTTAATTACTAATGACTTTGTGCTATGCCCTTCACTGTACACAAGGATAAAAAGAGAAGATCCTTATCATAAAGGATAAGAAGAGAACAATAAGAGGAATCTCTTACCTTTTGGAGACTATTATGCTAAGTGAAATAAACCAAACTGAAAAAGACAAATATCACATGATCTCACTTATTTGTGGAATCTACTGAACAAAATGAATCTATATATATAAGCCTAAGTGACTGTTCAACCAGTAGCTCTGATGCACAGTGCCACCAGGGGGGCAGATGCTCAATGCACAGGCATGGAAACATGTAACAAACTGATGAATCTCAGAGGGAAGGGGGTTGGGGGGAGGGCGGGAAGAGATTAACCAAAGATCTTATATGCATACTAGAGGCTTGGTGCATGGACACATGCACCAGTGGGGTCCCTCGGCATAGCCTGCAGGGATTGGGCTAAAACCGGCAGTCTGACATCCCCAAAGGGTTCCTGGATTTCGAGAGGGCACAGGCCAGGCTGAGGAATCCCACCAGTACATGAATCCATGCACTGGGCTTCTAGTTGACCAACAAAATAAGACCTGAAGCATGGAGGCATGGGATAGACTGACATACCTCGATGTGGGTTTGGGAGGACGAGGAGAGATAAACCAAAGAAATTATATACTTACATGCATAGCCCATGGACACAGGCAATAGGGTGATGAAAACCTGGGGGTGGGGGTGCAGGTGGGGAATAGGGGCTGGGTGGAGGAGAGTAAAGGGGGAGAAAATGGGAGACATCTGTAATACTGTCAACAATTTAAAAAAAAAATTAAAAAAGAGAATAATGGCCCTAGCCAGTTTTGCTCAATGGACAGAGCATCAGCTTGTGGACTGAAGGGTCTCAGGCTTGATTCTGGTCAAGGGAACATGCTCGGGTTGTGGGATCGATCCCCAGTGGGGGGCATGCAGGAGGCAGCTGATCAATGATTCTCTCTCATCATTGATGTTTCTATCTCTCTCTCTCTCTTCCTCTCTGAAATCAATAAAAATATTTTTTTTTTAAAAAAGAGAGAATAATGACAGAGCTTCTGGGCCCTAGGCCTGGGGAGGAACTGACTATACTTGGGGAAGCAGATATGTGAATGGAGAAATGACAGTTTAACAAGGCAAATGCTTTAATGATGTATGATGGTTCTAAGCTTCTGGAATTCTGGCAAAAAAAAAAAATGTGTTTTCATTCTTTTGACTCTCTCATGGTTTGTAGCACTGTGTCCTACCCACTGAAATTACTTAATATATATGTTAACAATGAACTTGAGTGTATATCTTTTTTTTAAGCTTTCACTTATATCCAAAGTTCCAAATGTACATTCAGCTACTTACTGGATATCTCTACCAGCATATCCCAGAAGCATTTCCAGCTCAAGATGTCCTAAACAGAATTCTTTCCTCCAAAACCTGGTCTTCCTTTATTTCTCACCTCAGTTGTCTGAGATAGAAAGCCCAGAATTATTCTCAATACCACTCTCTCCGTAACCCCATATCCAACCAGTCACCAAGTTTCTTCTATTCTAGGTCATAAATACGTTGTGACTCGTTTTCTTATTCCCCTCATCTTGGGTCACACTTTCATTATCTCTTTCTTGAATTGATAAAACAAAAACAACACATTCCAATAGATCTCTCTACCTCTTCTATCTTATCTCTACAATCTCATAGTCACCACCATCTTATTTCTGAAACATAAATCTGACACTATCATTCCCTTGGTTTAATCCTTTTGTGGATCCCTAATGTTTTCAGGATAAAGTTTAAATTTTTAGAAATCAAATTTTAGAAAGCAATATAAGAATCTTATAAACAGCTGCATGATAATACATTTGAAAACCTAGATGAAATATTTAGAAATGGCTCAATAGAATCATTTCAATCTGGCTATAGTCAAACCTATCCCAAACAAATAAAACATGGAAAATGTTATATACACAGAATTACTCTGGTTCCTATATTAGTTTTCTATTACTGTTGTAACCGATTACCACAAATTTAATGCCTTAAAACAACACAGGAAAAATGAAAAGATCCTTGAACTTCGTAACTGTGGATTTATTTTTGTGTAGATGAGTAGTTTCTATTTAAGTTATGGTTCATTGGGTTTTCTGTTATTTGCAGCCAAATGCAACTTAACTGGTAAAAGTACTTCTGTAATTAAAATAGAGAAGACTTGGAGGAATTATTATTGTAGATCACAGAGAATTCTATTACTTTATCCCCACATACCAAGTGCTCATTAATCTGCTCTTGCTATGATCAAAACAGTCATCACAAACACCATAATGAAAAAAATCCACATGAAGAATCGATCTATGACTTTCGCAACCTTCTTCCATTCACTCCCCTTGGAATTGGTGGCCTTGTGGTCTTTGAGGCACTTGGCAATGTATTCGATATTCCTTGTCAGCACTTTGTACCGTGCACAGTAATCGTCAGCATCCCGCTGGGTCTCACCTTGGCACCCCAAGTCATTCTTTAAGAGTTTGTTCATTTCCTTCTTTCTGGGAAGGTCTTTGTTCCTGGCTGTTTTCAGATTAGCCTCTGGAAGTTTGCCATAAACCTTTGTGAGGCGGCCCCGCTCCCTGTCGTGGCGGGGGCTAAGGCAACTCTCACCCACGTCGTAGACGAACAAGATCCTGGACATGTATTTCAGTATAACCACCCTGGCCCAGTGTGGCACTGGCCGGGCCTCAGCCCCACAGAAGTGGATATTCATCACCATAATGGTCAAGGCAGTGGAGGCTGTGATCAAGGCCATCGTGGCTATGTAGTATTTGCCTGAAAAATATCAACAACCAAGTCAGCTTAAAACTGACCTCATGTTTGGCTCAAAAAACAAAACAAAACAAAACACACTTTTTCTAAGGAAGCCATATACACTAATGAGTACTACTATAGACTTTTGAATCAAACTTCCTGGGTTCAAATCCCAGGTTCTGTCACCCACTAGACTTGTGTCCTGAAACAAGTTATATAATGCTGCTAAGCCTGAGCTTCTTTCTTTGCAAAATGAATATAATACTTGTATCTAACTCATAGGAATATAGTGAAGCTTAATTGAGGTGACTCATGTAAAGTCCTCAGAACTGCCCCTTATACCTACTTAAAAGGTTTGTAAATGTTCACTGAGATCCTGATGTGAAAAATGTTCACTTTCAACAGACAAACAAATAATTAACAATCTCAGCCAGTTCTCTGAATTGTCTTCAGGCCTCATTAATGTGAAAGCTCATTACTATTGAATAAGAAGAGACACTGTGTCCCTATCTGTTTAACATGTGATTATATAATAAAGTGAATAATCCTAAAAAAAGATGAAAAAAGGAAATAAAGATAAAGGTAAAAATTTATAAAATATAGAACCAAAAAATCCAAGAAAATGAATAACATTGAAAGGGAGCTACTTTTTTAAAATAATGAAATCAATAAACTTTTGGTAAGACTGCACATGAAATAGAGGCAGGTGGTAGAGGGGAGAAAGAGGATGCAAAAGAGGAAATAAGAGAATCAAAATTGAGAAAACAATATAATAATCTTATAAATAGTTGCATGATACTACATTTGAAAACCTAGATCAAATTTCTAGAAATATATCAGATGTCAAACATAGCATAAGAAGAAAGAACACTTGATTAGAAATGGAATTAATCAAATATATCGACCCCCCAAATACTCTAGGGCCAAAAGACTTTGTAGGTGAGTTTTGCCAAACTTTTAAGGAACAGATAATTTATTTCATTCAAGTTGTTCCAGAAATAGAAAAAGAGGAAAAACTGCCTGGCTCATTTTGTGAAGTCAATTTAACCTTGATTCCAAAAGTAACAAGAAAGGAAATATTAAGGCCATTTCACTTATAGACATATTTGAGAAAATCCTATTAAAATTATTAGCAAGCTAACTCAATTGGTGTCTTTAAATGATAATCCATCATGATAAAGAGGGTTTAGTTCACCATCAGAAAACCTAATTCACTACTTTAATAGAGAGTAAAAGAGAAAACTCACATGCATATCTTAACAGATGGAGGTAATGGATTTAATAATATTCATCACCTGTTTATTATTTGTTAAAAGCTCTGAGTAAACTAAAACTAAATGGAACTTGGTAAAAGCTAAGGGCCAGATGCCCAGATCAAATGCTATACTTATGAAGAAAACTTGAACACGTTTCTATGACTAGAAGTTCATTTCATGAGTGCTACAAATAAATTGTGATTGCTAATAAATATTCTCAAGATCTGTGTGCACCCTTCCTAAAAAAAAAAAATACATTTTTTTAATCTCTTGTTCTGGATTTTTTATTATTTTTTTCCACAAGGAAATAAGATTTAATTCTACAAATTTACAAGCCAAGACAAAATAGAAACGAAATGTGGAAAACGAGGCCAGCAGTTCAACTCGAGGCCACGTCACTGCAGCCTGGGCCGCAGCAGCCCGTCACCTGGGCAGGACCTGGTCTGACCCACAGTCTCCCACTGCTCCTTCTGCTGCTCCCGCAGCTTGTGCTCCCGCTCCAGCTTCCTTTCCAGCTGCTCCAGGCAGTCCCTCTCTCTCCGGGAATGCTCTCTCACCATCTCCTGCCTCTCCCACTCCCGGCGAGCTTCGTCCTGCCCAAAGGTTAATCAGAATTTTTTCCCCATTGTTATTTCCTTAATAAGAAAATAAATATTATCAGGCCAAGGGAAAGTACAGGGGCTGGACAGGAGCAGGAAGTGGGGCCAACACTTTCAAAGAGCTTCATGGCTCCCTCCTCCACACAGTACCAGCTAGGGCATCAGGATCCCCATCGTGTCCATCTGTCTGTATGTCCAGGTGTCCCGTGCTCACAACCCATTTCCCATCCCAGGGCTGCACGAGTTACCCCTTTCTTGGAGATGATACAGTGAACTTGTGTTGGCTGTGAGCCCTAGGTGGCCCCAGTGACTTGACGTAGTGCGGGCTGGACATTCTGGTCAAACCAGGCATAAATCCCTGTTTTTATTTTACCACAAGGGAAGAAATGTAAAACAAGTTTGGAAAATGTCCAGTTAAGATTGTATCCTCATGGTCAGCTTTTCACCAATAAGAGTGAGTCCAAGCCCTGGACCACTGCCGCAGGAGACAAACAAGTCTGGCCTGTCAGCGCCACCGGAAAGCCCGGGATATTCGCCAGGCATTGGGCTCCTCATAGTGGTTGTACAAGGGTTCCAGGCGCTGCTGCTTCTTCTGCTTGCTTAACTTTGTCAGGTCGGAGACCTTGAAGAAGGCAGGAGCAAACTCCACAAGCCACCGGGGGTCGATGGTGGTGACCTCACGCATGTACTCCTTTGTGGTCAGCACCAGCTCATGGTACACCACCCATTCCGGCTGTCTGTTGAAGAGAGCACTGGAAGGGTGGATGTAGACCACTTGCTGGTCAATCAGTGTCCGGTAACCCTCCTGTGGGTCTTTCTTGGCAGCATTTCGGAAGAATCCACTGCAGATGGCCTTCTGCACTCGGACTGTGGACTTACCGCAGGACACCACATCCAGCTTGTGTCTGTCCATTATGCCTAACATCTGCTTGCGAATGTCCTGGGCCCGGCGCAGAGAACGAGCTTGGATAAAGTTCTCATAGCACCATGGGTTGGAAGACTTGTTGTTCTTCCAAGAATTGTACACGGCCAACAGGGTGAGGTGGTCTCCTTCGGTTTGGTGGAATTTGGCCTTCTTCTGATCAGCAAGGGCTTGTTTATCCTTGGGCCTGTAAAAAACGTTTTGCACAGACAGCATGGATACAATGGTCAGCATTTCCTCACTGCAGCCCAGATGCACAGACATGATCAGCATTTTGCACAGCATTGGTTCCAGTGGGAATTCTGCCATCCTGCGGCCCAGGCGAGTAAGCAGGCCCTCATCATCCAGGGCCCCCAGTGTGTACAGTTGCTCCATGGCTGTGATCAAGGTTTCCATTGGTGGGGCATCCATGAAGTTAAAGGACAGAAGGTCATTGATGCCCATGGCCTTGAGCGAGAGCACTGTGCTTGCAAGGTTGGTTCTCTGGATTTCTGGCACATTGGTGGTCAGCATTTCATCTCGGTAGGCTCGTTCTGTGTACAGCCTGTAACACTTCCCTGGGCCTGTTCTTCCAGCTCTGCCAGCTCGTTGCTTTGCCTGAGCCTGAGAAATAGGAGTCACCACGAGCTGGTCGATCCCTGTCTTGGAATTGTAAACTTTCTGCTTCACAAAGCCAGGGTCCACCACATAGTAGATGCCATCAATAGTCAGCGATGTCTCTGCAATGTTGGTGGCAATCACGACCTTTCTGCTGCCAGGTGGAGCTGGGTCAAAGATTCGGGTCTGCATCTCACTGGGAAGAGCAGAGTACACTGGGAGGATAATCAACTCTGGAACATCAGGTCCCAGGGATTTCATTCTTTCATACAGGATCTCACAGGCAGTGTCGATCTCCTCCTGACCAGTCAGAAAGACCAGGATGTCACCTGGTGGTTCTGTTAAATGGATCTGCATGATGGTGATCAAGCCGGCGTCCAGATAATCTGTCTCAGGTTCCTTTGTGTACAGTATTTCCACTGGATATGTTCGACCAGGGATGGTGAAGATGGGAGCTTCATAGAAGTACTGAGAAAACTTTACTGCATCCAAGGTAGCTGAGGTGACAATCAGCTTCATGTCCTGCCGTTTCTGAACAGTCTTCTTCAACAATCCAAAGAGCACATCAGTGTGGATTGTTCTCTCATGCGCCTCATCCAACATGATGATGGCATACTGCGTGAGGCTGGGGTCAATCAGGCACTCTCGGAGCAACATCCCGTCTGTCATGTACTTGATGACTGTTTCAGGGCTGGTACAGTCCTCAAATCGAATGGTATAGCCAACCTCTTGGCCTAAGCAACAACCAAACTCCTCTGACGCTCTTTTGGCCACTGACATGGCTGCCACTCTTCTGGGCTGGGTACATCCAACCTTGCCCCTGGAAGTGTAGCCTGCCTCCGCCAGGTACTGGGTGATCTGTGTTGTCTTCCCAGATCCTGTCTCTCCAATAACAATCAGGATCTGATTGTCATGGACAGCCTGGACCAGCTGCTCCTTCAGTTTGTAGATGGGCAGGCTCTCTCTCTGCTCAAGGATTGACATCTGGGTCTTTTTTCCATAAGAAGCTTTGTTGCCCCCAAAGGCATGCTTCTTCCACTCGGGGATGTCATTGGGCGTCATCCCAATACCCCTCATGTTGGCAGCAATCTGCCTGCCTTCCATATCAGGCAAAGGATCAGCCCAATGTTTGTTGAGTCCCATGGGAATAGAATCCATCTCGGCTTCCCGCTGGGCTTGCTTGAGCTCCCGCCTTTCTTTGGCCAAGGCACTGTGCATCATGGCTGCATGAGCGAGCAAGCCATCTGGGTTCTTAACAATTTCAATAGGGTTCATGTCCATGCTTTGCTTGGTGTGCCCTCTCAGGAAGGGAGGCTCTTCCTCAACCAGTTCAATCTCAAGGTCCTCATCTTCTTCATCATTAACTTTAGGAAGAATGCCAGTCTCTTCCTCAAAGTCTGGAAACTCTTCTTTAGAAAGCACATTAGCAGCAATCATCTGTTTGATCTCCCACTTCTCTGGGTCAGAGATGCGGGTAAGGCGCTTGCGCTCCTGCGAGTCATCCTCTACTTCAGGGGCACTGACAAGGGAGAGGTGAGTGGGTCTGTCCGGGTTCCTCACTGAAGACTCCTCATTGGTCTCCCCGCCAAGATTTTGTCGTCGATTTGGGTTTAGATCTTCCCCAGTCTCTTGATCCACATCCTTCATGCTCAAACTGGTCTTGGTCCCAGTGAAGGACAACACTTTGACCTTGACTCTCTGGCCTTTGCTCACCACATCAGCCACGTTAGCGACACGGCCTTCCCGCCGGAGCTCAGAAATATGCACCAGGCCTTCCCACCGCTTCCTTAGTCCCTCTAGCTGCACAAAACATCCAAACTGCATGATGCCGGTAACTCTGCCATTGTAAATGTCCCCGATAGCAGGCTCTTCCGGGGAAGGGCGGTCCACGTGCTTATCCCGCCATCTGTCCAGATTCCTCTCCCCACATTTGTCTCGGTCCTTCCGGTCTCTGGGGGGACTCTGACTTCTACTCCTGGACCGATATCTAGACTTCCCTTTATTCCTCTCCCGGGTCCTGGAACGTGATCGAGAGCGGGACCGGTGTCTCCACTTGTGGTCTCTATCACAGTCTCGTTCTCGGCTCCGGCTCCGCTTCTTCTTCTTCTTTGCCTTGTCCCGGTGCTCGGCATCTCTTTGCTTCTCCTGGCCCACTGCACTGGGCATTAAAGCCTCCAGTTCTTTCAGGACATCCACAGCGACTTTCACATCATCCTCATCCAGCATGGTCCGAACAGAAGGGTTGTCTGGTTGGCAAAGGACTGGAAAGAGTTCTTTCAGCTTTTCTTTCTCAGTTTTGGGTTTGACAACTGGATCTTTGCCGGTAGAAGGCTTTGGGGGAGGCCGCATGATTTGTATGAGACGCAGCAAGTTACTGATAAGAGAATCCGTGAATTCGGCACCATTTTTGACCAAAGAAGTCTTAAAAGTATCAAAGGTGGTATTTTTCTCAGCAAGACTGATCACAAATTCAGCCAGATCCTTGTCGTTGATCCCCAAGTGATTGTTCAACTCAGTGCAAACCTTCGACACCAAAGACAGATACTCGAGTTTGGCGAGTTCTTCCGCGAGGCCTAGCTCCGTCCCGTTGACGGCTCCCACCAAGGCCACAGCCACCGCCATGGCTTCGGCTTCCCGCGCCTCCTCACTCTTGGTCGGAATTTTTTAAGCGCTTTACCTCTGCCTTCTCCCCTTGCTCCTTCCGTCGCTTCTTTTCCTGGAGAATCTAATGTAAGGTCTTCACTTTCCAAGAGTCCTTTTCCTCACGCAGTGGAGTGAAACCACCCTGCGCCGACACCGCCGCTGTCGCTGGTCCGGAGTCTGAAGAGAAACTGCGGAGGTGTGCGCCCAGAGCGTCCTTTTATCCTGAGTGTTGGTGCAGGATGATGACGTAGTCTCCAGGTTCCGGCTGGAGCCAGGCGGGGGGCGGGCGCCCGCCCCTCCCATCCCGGGGGGGGGGGGGGGCGGAACGAACGTGTGGTGATCGCGGGTTGGATTCCTGGTCGGTTCCCGGCGTGCAGGAGGCAGCCGGTGGTTCAGTCCCACATCAATGTTTCTCTCCCTTCCTCTCTTCAAAAATCAATTTAAAAATAGGGGGGGGGGGGCAGCCCTAGCTGGTTTGACTCAGTGGATAGAGCATCGGCCTGTGGACTGAAAGGTCCCGGATTTGACTCCAGTCAAGGGCACATACCCGGGTTGTGGGCTTGATCCCCAGTGTGGGGCCTGCACGAGGCTGTTGATCTCTCTTGTCTCTCATCATTCATATTTCTATCTCTCTCTCCCTCTTCCTTCCTCTCTGAAATCAGTAAAAATATATTTTTTAAAAAGAAATATAAGAACCACCCTAGCCAGTTTGGCTCAGAGGATAGAGTGTCGGCCCATGCTCTGAAGAGTCACGGGTTCGATTCCCGTCAAAGGCATGTACATTGGTTACAGGCCCTGGTTGGGTCGTGCAGAAGACAACCAATGGATATGTCTCTCTCATACCAATGTTTCTCTGTCTCTCCCCCTCCCTTCTACTCTCTCTAATATTTTATTTTATTTTATTATTTTTTAATTAAATTTTTATTGTTCAGATTATTACAGTTTTTCCTCTCCCCCCCCCCCATAGCTCCCCTCCACCCGGTTCCCACCCCACCCTCTGCCCTTACCATCCCCCCCAACTGTCCTCATCCATAGGTGTACGATTTTTGTCCAGTCTCTTCCTGCACCCCCATACCCCTTTCTCCACCCCCCCCCCAGAATAGTCAGTCCACTCCCTTTCTATGCCCCTGATTCTATTATATTCACCAGTTTATTCTGTTCATCAGACTATTTATTCACTTGATTTTTAGATTCACTTGTTGATAGATGTGTATTTGTTGTTCATAATTTGTATCTTTACCTTTTTCTTCTTCTTCCTCTTCTTAAAGGATACCTTTCAGCATTTCATACAATACTGGTTTGGTGGTGATGAACTCCTTTAGCTTTTTCTTATCTGTGAAGCTCTTTATCTGACTTTCAATTCTGAATGATAGCTTTGCTGGGTAAAGTAATCTTGGTTATAGGTTCTTGGTATTCATCACTTTGAGTATTTCTTGCCACTCCCTTCTGGCCTGCATAGTTTCTGTTGAGAAATCAGCTGACAGTCGTATGGGTACTCCAAAAAAATACATTTTTATATTATCACAGAAATAGAAGAAGTAATGCTTGCAAAATTTCCAACACATGTCCTGAGACATTGCTCTTCAGAACTGAGCCAGCTTGCTGTTGAATGTCACTGCTAAAGAAGGGAGAGGGATTTACCAATTGGTGCTGCCTCAGATAGGGTTATGATTGGATATCATCACTGTCCATCATTTCTGCCTCTCAGAAGAGGTCATAAAAATGCCAATATACCTCCTGCTCTTTAGTGGTGCGATGGGGATTAGAGAACCTTCTGTGTCTATCTCTTAAAAAGGTGTGTGTATGTCTGTGTGTGTCTATGTCTGTTTTTTGCTTGGAGAGATGTAAGAAACAAACCTCCAAACAGAGTAATCAATGTAGTAACATCTGAATCCTATATAAGAAAAACGTAGTATGCAAATTGTCCCCTTGACTGGGAGTGCATCCAGGAGTTCTACCAGGGGCCAGGGCCGGCCAGGGGGAGGGAGGGAGGCCCCAGCTGGTAGCCGGCAGCCACCAGGGACCCTACCAGTGCATGAATTTCATGCACTGAGCCTCTAGCATTAAATAATATGGGATTCAGTGGAGGGTAAAGGGGCAATGCAATATCCCTTTGATATTGGTCTGTAAATCTCTTGTTCTGAAATTTCTCCTCATTGCCTACTTTAAGGAACTAAAAAATAGGTCTAGCTTTTTATTTGGGTAAGCAACTTTTTTAAAATTTATTTTTTATTTTTAAATATATTTTTATTGATTTCAGAGAGGAAGGGAGAGAGAGATAGGAGCATCAATGATTAAGAGAGAATCATTGATCGGGCTGCCTCCTGCACACCCCCTACTGGGGATAGAGCCCACAACCCAGGCATGTCCCGTTGACCAGAATCGAACCCAGGACCCTTCAGTCCGCAGGCCGGCACTGTATCCACTGATCCAAATCAGTTAGGGCAGGGTAAGCATCCTTTACAATAGCACAGCATTGACATAGAGGTGTTGCAGCTGAGTGATATCCTTGGTGGCAGGGTGTAGGTATTGAAGGTGTTAGGAGGGAACTCAGAATGAGGTAGGTAAAAAAAAAAATACAGGAGACAGGAATTGTAGTCTCAGTCTACATTCTACCCTTAGGAGGACATTTCATTATTGCAGATTTTTAAAAATGTGATCCACTTTAGAATCACCTCAGATTCTCAAATCTTGCCCAAGATTGCTAAATTAAACTCTATAGATATAGGAACCTGAATTTTTACAAGCCCTCACACACCTATTACACCCAATAAAGGTTGAGAATTATTCTTTTAAGGGTAGATGGTAGGCTTAAAACCAGTTCATTTCTAACACGTTTACCATTCTTCCCAAGGAGAGACCCCTTGTGATGTGAAAAGATAAAAAGAGTCACTCTTTACTCAGTACTTATCATATGCCAGGTTCTGAGCTAAGCGATGACACATGAGGTAGCAGTTACATGAAGTTTGCTGATGAGGTAGCAGAGACTCAAAGATTAAATAACTTGTCAGAGATTGATCAAGGAATGAATGGTGAAGTCAGAGTTCAAATGTAGATTTCTTTTGACTTTAAAAAATCAAGGCCTTAAACTCAAAATCACCCAGAACGCTTGTTAAAACAGATGCCAGCCTTCACCCTCAGGGTCTCTAATTCATTAGGTCTAGGGTGGGCCCTGAGAATTTGCATTTCTAAAAAAGATGCTGATGCTGTGGGTCTGGGGACCACCCTTTGAGAACCATTGCTCTAAACTGTATTGCCCCTCAATCTTCTTTTGGGTCAGTCTGGAGACCACAAGGCCAGTTTTGTTTCCAACAGCCACACCTGTATTCAACGATGCCAACTGAAGACACTAAATGAAGGATGTGACAGCCTGTGTTGAGTGTGAAGCTGGCCTAACTGTTATAAGTTTAAAGGCATACATATCACTGCAGTCAATACAAAGTTGGGCTCAAAGTGCAAGACCCTTGAACTCACCTATCAGAGGGACGTTTTCTGAGGCCGGCATGATCTCCGCCACCATGAGCTGAAATACAGTCATGGCCAACAGGATGGTCACTCCCAGGGAGACCTTTTCCCCAGAGGCTGCAGGGAGATAAAAACTCAAGGGAGCCAGAAAAGAGATGAGGACGCAGGGGATGAGGAGGTTGACGATATAGAAGGAGGACCTCCTCTTCAGAAGGAGAGTGAATGTCACATCGGGGTAAGGCTCAGAGCAGCAGCCATAGGAGATCACGTTCTTCACCGCAGGCATGCCATGCACCTCCCACTCCACATCTTCAATGAAGTCGGAGAGGTCTCCACTGTCCAGGGCGTTGAATATGTCCACCTGATTGCCATTGTAGGTCCAGGAACCAAAGGTCAGGTTGCACTGCTGGTTGTCAAAGGGGAAGTAGGTGACGTCCACCACACAGGAGCTTTTGGTGATGGCTGGTGCGTCCCAGGTGATCAGCCCATCATACCGCAGGACCACATTGGTGTTCACAGGCTCGGAAGATTCATCGTCAGCCCTGAAAGTTAGAGGAAGAAAATGAAAGCAGCTTGCTGGAATAACTCACCAACTTCCCATTCCAGACAGCTCACCACCCTGTGTCCATCACTTTAATGTCTTTGGCTGTGGGTCACCATTCTCCCTGTTACTTTGGCATAAAAATCTGAAATCAACTCTAATTTTCTCTTCTCCTCCATCTCCTGTGATTAGTGAGGGGCAAGTTGTCTTGGGCTCTTCCTTAAAAGCATCTCTGCTTTATGTCCCTTCCTCTCTATTCCCAATACCACTCTACTGGTCCAGGTATAATGACTTATAAATCCAGACAAAATGTAAACCTGTCAAAGCTAAAATCAGAAAGGGAGGTTCTGCTTACCTGATTTTGTTAACTTTGGGCACAAGAATATTAAGGCAACTTTTTGTTGCTGTTGGAAAAGTTTTACATGTGTAGTAGAACTTTTGGAAAACATGGACAAAATTTTATTCACCCAGAATTTAAGATATAATAATTTATTCTGGATAAATGTTCTTTTTGCTTTGTCAACATTTATGCCTGGCAATTTGGGGTACAGAATTTTTATTTCCCTTTGGGGATATCTCTTTCTCCACCACCATTGCAAGGCATATTGACTGTTGATCAAGTCATAATAGGAGTTATGACCTTCTGTTCAGGGACAGACAGCCAAAGATAACTCTATAGGAAGGTAGCATATCCTGACCTCACTTTATTTTCTCCCTTTAATTGCACACTGGTGCTCCCCAGAAGCCAGAGGGAAGAGTTTAAAGGCATTCCTGTTTATTTACTTTAAAACCAATATCAGTGTTTTATCTCCCTGGTTTCTCTGATCAGATTTTATAGCTCAAAACTTGCAATGGTTTCTTATTGTCCACCAAATACTCCAAACCTCCTTAGTTTAGTGTCCCAGATGTTCCATGATCTACTCCCATCTCACTTTCCAGCCTGATGTCTCCCACGGTCTCCTTCACTCACACTCCACCAACCAGGGCTGAAACCCTAACGCATCCTGTGAGTTTCCCTCCTTCACTCAAACCCTTTCTTCTATCTATAATATTTTGCATGAACAAATCTAATACATTGTTCAAGACCCACTTCTTAAAGCACTAGTAATGTCAACTGTAATTGATAAATAAAATTTTAAAGTAAATTTTAAAAAAGATTCACCTCCTATGAGAAGCCTTCCCTGCCTCTCCAGTCAGATTAAATATCCATCGTTTGTTTTGTGTGTGTTTTTAAATATTTTATTGATTTCAGAGAGGAAGGGAGATAAAGAGAGAGATAGAAACATCAATGGTGAAAGAGTCATTGATTGGCTGCTTCCTGCACACACACACACACACACACACACACACACTCAGGCATGTGCCCTGACAGGGAATCAAACCATGACCTCCTGGACAGGGAATCAAACCATGACCTCCTGGTTCATAGGTCGACTCTCAACCACTGAGCCACACCAGCCAGGCCAGAGACTGAGTTTTAAAATCCTAATTTATTCTTCAACACACTACAGAATGTCTTGCCCAGAAGAAAGATTTGACGAAGAGACGTAGGTAGGTTGAGAAAGTGTCATGACATCATAGAAATGTCACCAAGAGATTTTGGTTCAAAACCTGGTTCAGGTTTTACAACCTGGAGCAAGTTACATCTCACCTGTAAAAGTAAGCAGTATAATACTTTAAAGTTTCTTTTTGAACATTAGATTAAGTAAGTAAATTATATGTATTAATTTCTATTGCTATTGTAACAAATTCCATAAACCTAGTGTCTTAAAACAATACAAATTGAACACCTCTAGAGTTCTGAGAGGTCGGAAATCCTAAAATCAAGATGCAGACAAGGCTGCACTCCTGTGGAGGTTCTGAAGGACTGTCCCTTTCCTCGTCTTTTCCGGCTCCTCGAGGCAGGGCATCACTCTGCCCTCTGCTTCCTTCATGGCATCTACTCTGACCCTCCTGTCCCTCTTTTATAAGAATTCCTGTTTACATTGGACCCACCAGGTAATCTCCTCATCTCAAAGCCTTACTGTAATCACACCTGCAAAGTCGCTTTGCCTCGTAAGGTAACATATTCACAGGTTTCCGGGATTAGGGTGTGGACACTTTGGGGGCGGTTATTCTATCTACCACCCTTTGCAAAGCCCCAACTCTGCCTGACACATAGTATGTGTCCAATATATGTTCCTTTCTTCTCTTCCCCTTCCCTGTGTTTCTAACTGGGTTCCGTGTTCTCAACCAGAATATGAAACATGACAGGGACCAACTTTCAAAATGGAGGTCGACAGAACAGGTTGACCCTGAGGATATGTCATTTGTTTCCCACTTTTCTTCCCTTTCCTCGGCCACATAGCGCCCTCCCGGCAGCCCCTCATCCCCTTGGAGCTGATCAAAGACTGAGCTGATCTTAGTCACCTTGCACTTGTGCACACAGGTCCTTCCCGGTGGGGGCTGTAAGAATCCCACCCCAGAACCGGAGGAGTGGGCTGGTGAAGGAGAGAACAGTGAGTCCGCCAGTTCTTTCGGTCACCAGAGTGCCTGGACCCTCAGCGCAGACTCGTCTGTGCACTCAGTCCCACTATCCACCCCACCAGTGCTGCTTCCTGAAGGGGCACTCGTGCCCACTTGCAGGCTGAGCTCTCTCTTAGGAGAGATCCCCTGAGCCGCCCCTCACTCACCTTGTTCTGAGCCCAAGAGGAGCCTTTCCCAGCCCATGGAAACTTGAGTCCCAGAATAAAAAGAGATCGAAGCTCCTTTGACAATAGGTGGAGCAACGGAGCCTGAATTGTGACAGAACAAGCTGGCTCCTGTCAAAATGTGGCCCACGGACCATCAGCTCTAACATCTGGAGCTTATAAAAGTGCAGAATAAAAAACTCTAGCCTAGACCCACTGACTCAGAATCCATATTTTGATTAGCTCCTTGGGTGATTCATGTGTGCTTTACAGTTTGAGAAACATAAACCTTACCTACATTTACTCAAGGCCCCTTGCTCTGAGATCAGCCAACTGGTGACCTTATAACTTCGTTCCTCCTCCTCTCCATACAAAGTCCAGTATCCATAGGCCAGCTTCCAGCTGGTCCATCCCGATTTAATCTTAGTAGTATCATTGTTATTGATACGTGATCTTGGAGAAGAGAACACTACTATTATGTGTTGAATTGTGTCCCTCCCAAAATTCGTATGTTGAAATCCTAGCCCTCAGCACCCCAGAATGTGACCTTATTCAGAATAGAGTCATTACAGAAGTAATTAGCTAAGATGAGGTATAGTAGGGTGGATACTTAATCCAGCACAGCTGGTGTCCTTATAAAAGGAAACTTGTGTGCCTGGCCCCTGTGGCTCAGTTGGTTGAGCATCGTCTCATGCACCCGGAGGTCACTGGTTTGATTCCCAGTCAGGGCACATGCCTGAGTTGCTGGTTCAATCCCCAGTGTTTCTCTCTCATCAATGTTTCTATCTCTCTCTCCCTCTGCCTTCCTCTCTCTGATATCAATTAAAGAAAAAAACATATTAAAAGGGAACATGTGGCCCAGACAGTACAGAGAAAATGCCATGGGAAGATGAAGCAGAGATTGGGGTGATGCTTCTGTAAGTCAAAGAACAACAAAGACTGCTACCAACCGCCAGAGGCCAGGGGAGAGGCCGGGCACAGATTTTTTTTTAATTTCTTTATTGATTAAGGTATTACATATGTGTCCTTATCCCCCCATTACCCCCAACCTCCCCACTCATGCCCTCACCCCCCTGTTGTCTGTGTCCATTGGTTATGCTTATATGCATGCATACAAGTCCTTTGGTTGATCTCTCCCCCTTACCCTCACCCTCCCCTACCTTCCCTCTGAGGTTTGACAGTCTGATGGATGGTTCTCTGTCTCTGGATCTGTTTTTGTTCATCAGTTTGTGTTGTTCATTATAATCCAGAAATGAGTGAGAGCATGTGATATTTATCTTTCACTGACTGGCTCATTTCACTTAGCATAATGCTCTCCAGCTCCATCCATGCTGTTGCAAATGGTAGGAGTTCCTTCCTTTTTACAGCAGCATAGTATTCCATTGTGTAGATGTTTTGTAATCCACTTGTCTGCTAATAGGCACTTAGGCTTTTCCAAATCTTAACTATGGTGAATTGTGCTGCTATGAACATAGGGGTGCATATATCTTTTCTGATTTGTGTTTCTAGTTTCTTGGGATATATTCCTAGAAGTGGGATCACTGGGTCAAATGGGAGTTCCATTTTTAGTGTTTTAAGGAAACTCCATACTGTTCTACACAGTGGCTGCACCAGTCTGGCGGGCACAGAGCCTTCCGCATTACCCTCAGAAGGAACCAGCCTAGCTGGCACCTTACCCTGATCATGCATGTCTAGCCTCCAGACTGTGAGCTAACACATCTCTGTTGTTTAAGCCCCTGCCTCCCGCCCCCAGTTTGAGGTACTTTGTTACAGTAGACCTGGAAAACGAATACAGCCTCTAGACCAGGTGTCCTCAAACTTTTTAAACAGGGGGCCAGTTCTCTGTCCCTCAGACCGTTGGAGGGCCGGACTATAGTTTAAAAAAAAAACTATGAACAAATTCCTATGCACACTGCACATATCTTATTTTGAAGTAAAAAAACAAAACGGGAACAAATACAATATTTGTATTTGCATGTGGCCCGCGGGCCGTAGTTTGAGGACCCCTGCTCTAGACAGTTCTTACCTGAAAAGGGGAATGTAGCTCCAAGCTTTTATGAACTACCATCTTATCATCTAAGATTTTATGACCATTATTTTAGGGCCTAGAAACAGAAATTGACATTTGACTTGTTTTGTTTTGTTTTGTTTTTAAATGATGGAACATCTTTTCTTAATTGATTTCAGAGAGTTAGGGAGAGGGAGAGAGAGATGGAAACATCTATGATGAGAGAGAATCATTGATCCACTGCCTCCTGCACATCCCACACAGGGGATGGAGCCCTCCCAAGCCGGGCATATGTCCTGACCAGGAATTGAATCAATGGCCTCTTGGTTCTGGGCTTGACGCTCAACCACTGAGCTACACTGGCCAGGTGACTTACACATGTTTTAAATATTCCTTCTCCATTATGTTTAAATCCTGTTACATCAACAAGTTCATTCCTGAGAAACCAGTGATTTGCACTTACTTGTTGTACAGGACAATGTCCGGCCTCCACACCAGGTCGCTGGGGATCCTGATGGAGTCCAGGCCGTCATACTGGTCTCGATCCCACGTGAGATAGGCGTCATGCCAGGTTTGGCGGATCCATAAGTAGGCGGTCAGAATTTGGTTCCTTTCATCCTGCACAATTGACCCAGATGTAATTTTATCCAGTGGACACCTCAGCTGGCCCTCCATCTCTAGAACACTTGTTCTTCACACGGAATTCCAAGAGCACTGCTCTTTTTTCTGTGAGTGAGAGCTCTCTCAGTCTAGCCCCTTGACTGACTGCCAAGGCCATATTTTTTCTGCTTTATTTAGTGTTTGGAATGTTAAGTGGACAAATACTTAAGTCATCAGATCTTTGCACGAATCCACTGCCCAAATTTCTCCAAAAAATAATTATCAGGTGATTCATTTGAATGAGAAAGTCAGGAAATATTTACAATGGACAGAAGAAAAATCAAGATTCATAATTTTGTGTAATTAAACACATATAAGCAGTAAATAAGGTATGTCATCTTAAAACACCACCTTTGTGTTTATTAAATTGGAATAAAATGCACATAACATAAAATGCACATAACATAATATGCACATAACACAAAACTCACCATTTTAACCATCTTAAAGATTTACATTTTAATCATTAGGTGGCTTCCAGAAGATTCCCAGTGTTGTGCACCCATCACCACTATCTAATTCCAGAACATTATGTCACCCAAATAAGAAACCCTAAGACTGTCAAGCAGTCACTCCCTGGTCCCCTGTCCTTTCCACCACCCCTGGCAACCGGTACTCTGCTCTGCCTCTGTGGGTTTGCCTATTTTGGACATTTCATAGAGATGCATTCATGCGATATGTAACACCCTCTTTACATATGTTAATGGCCGGGATAGGTAACAATTAGCAAAATTAATTTTGTAGAACGCTTCCTTCCCCGGGTGTCCCCCTCTCCCACCCGCTTGCACACAGAGCTGTCTGTTCTCCTTCCCTCTCAAATTCCCAGTTAAAACTTCTCTTTGAAAAGCACTGTTAGTTTCTTCTAAGCAACATGCCGAAGAGGCACCACTTTGTGTACTCACCATGTCCTTAATCTGGGAGAGTGTAATCTGCAGCGTGACATTCAGGACCTTGTCTGTGTCTTCTACTGGACGAAGAGCATTGGAATAATCTTCGAAAAGGTCATTGAATAACTTCTGAGCGTATCTCCCATCTGCTGCTCCTACGACTGCTCAAAAAGAGAGACCTGATCAACACTCAGCGCTGTGTGTGTCTCAAGGCAAAGAACAGACTGAGGACTGGAATTGGGGGCAACCCAGCATCAGCTTGGGACAAGCTTTGGAGGATGCGTTTTTTCCTACCTTGCACTCCGGGGACCAGGGCTAGTCAGTAAGAAGCATGAGACACTTCTCTACAGCTAGATCACGGGTTCTGTGTCCTGGCCCACCCCACCTCCCACCAAAGAAGTGGCCCCAGATGAGCAGAGGTGGGTACCCACCTACCAGTCTCTTACCTCCCAGTCTGGAGGCAGCAAAGCAAATCCAACAAAAGGAGATGCAGGAATGGGGCCAGTTCATCTTTTTTCTGAGCCTCTGTAAATTGCCAGCCAGGCAGCGCTGTCTTCCACTTCCCTCCGTGAATAGGAAGGGTCTGGGCACAGCTCCGGGGCAGTCTCCGCAGCCGATGGAGCATTCAGGTTTGCACTGCACGGAGGGCCCCAGGTCCCGAGATCCCTCCCCTCTGGTAATCGGAGATGGGCAGTGCCAGCAGCTGAGATGCCAGGAGTCCCAGGAGGGTTAGGTCAGGCCGTGCTGCTCTGGGAGGGCCATCCCACCCTTAGCAGGAACATCCAGACCACACTCTCAGGGGAAGCGATTCCATCTTAAAAGATTGGATACTTCCTACCCCTGCAGCAGGCAGATTCAGCCTGCGTCTGGGGCTGAGTCAAGCTGAACAGACCCAGCCACGCACGGGCAGCCATCTGGAAAGGCCACGTGCACTCTGAGCAGCACGGAAAGAGCAGCAGTTCCATGATCTCCAGAACAGATCGGCTTTCCTTTCTGCCTTCTGCTTCGCATCCCTGCCTCAGTTGTCCCCCTGGAGCACGGATCTGGGAGGGTATGTGTGAGTCTATGTGTGAGGGGGTGATGGGTAGGAGAAGCAGCGGACTGTGATTTGGTCCTGGGTTGGACGAGCCTTCCTGAGGCAGACACTGGGGGAACACCGTGCCCCCTTCCCCAGCTACCAGGGTGCTGTATGGAAAGCACTTTGGAAACCGTAAAGCACTAAATTCGGAGCAGCCTTGCAGATGCAGGATTTCCTTACTTGCCAAGTCACCCCGGGTTTGCTAGCTCTAAAAAACAATGGCTCACAGGCCACTAAGCCCATCAGCATGAGAGTGATTCATAAGCAATGACGATATTGCCAAGGATGATCTACCCCTTCGCATTGAATGTTGCTTCATGGAATTTTACCGTCTTTTCTCCTCTGTGATCTAGTTTGGCTCCCACAAAAGAATGTCAATTTTCAATCGCCATGCTTGCTCTCGCCTGGGCTGACTGCCTGGGAAACCCAAATTAGGATCTTTCCGTCGGTCGCCTGGAATCAAAGCAAGGAAACTGGATATAACCTCGTTCCTCAGGTGACAGCCGGCCGATGAGTCATCCTGTCCCTCTTCAGGAACATATCCTCCGAATGGAGCAGACGCTCAAGCTGTCGGCTAAATGCGTTTTTTAATTGCCTGGGCCCTGGTGTTGATTGTGAAGACATTATTTTGCTGACGCCCTAGTCTGACTCACCCATCAAATGACACAATTCCTTGTGCCCACGCTCAGCAAACCTCCGCTCTGGAATCTCAGGGGCTGAAGGCACTGTTGAAATGGAATTGACCATCTCCTTTTCACATGAGAAACTGAGGCCCAAAGATGCCCAGTCACTAGCTCTTTCTTAGCTCCCAACCCGGGGGGTGGGGGGGAGGAGAGAGAGAGTGAGAGCGAGAGAGCTATAATGTAATCCCATAGCTTGCAAGACACTAATGGAAGAAGAAATCCGTTGAATTTACTATTTAGAGTTCAGTAAGGCTTCTAAAAATCAGGCAGCTAAGCTTTAGACTGATTTTCTAAAATGTGGGCTCAGACAACCGAAAGAATCTGAACAAACGTTGGCCATCCAGAAATGTGGGACCTCCTGAGGACACCCCATTTCCTGAGCGCCCATGAATGTGGGGCTGGTCCCATGTACTGGCATGTTAATTCAGGCTCACAGAGCACTGAACTCTTCCAGTTCCGAAGTTCATGACCCTCATGCCAGCAGCTGCCTTTCCTCAGCTCCTGGGTAGGGCTTCTGAACAGCATCTGACCTCAAAACCACCCCCCGAGGGAGTAGACGCTGGCCAGAAACAAGAGCTGCGCAGTTCGGAGAATTTCTAGAGAGCACAGTAATCCTTCAGCCTCTGTGCCGTTTGAGAGGCAGCAGTCCTGCCACAGTACAGTAGCCCAGCCGTTTCAGACTTGCAGGGAGCCAAATCCTCCCCTGTGGACTCATAGGCACTCGTCTATTGCCAAATGTGAGATTAAGGTATTAGAGACATTTCATAAGTTCTTAATATTTTTAAACACAGTTTTTATTACATAAGCAATGCATGCCTCATGCAGGAATATTCAAAAGTATAAAAAAGCACAATGCAGGAAAAGAAAGGTCACTGAGGAGGATCCAACCGGGCAGAGGTACACAGGTGTTATGCAGCAGCCGTCTTTCGAAAATGCTCATGGGCTGTGTTGTCGTGTCTTTGGGATCCGGAAGGGCACAGACCATGAGTGGATCTCTGTCTTGCTCTATCATGAGCACATAGAAGTGCTGAGGATGTTTCTTCCTGCTCTCCTGGGATTGGATTGTGGCTCAGACATGGTCTACCTTGAATGGTCTCCCATCGTCTCCTGCTCCTCTGCCCTCCCCTCAGGGTCCCTGCTCAACCCTTTTGGGTTGAAGCTGCTGAGAACCCTTGGCCCATTGGGGTCATGCCTCCTGGAGCACCCCTGGATCCACTCTAGAAGGCTGTACTCCAGTCCCTTGGAGAGATCCCCTGCCCCACAAAAAATCCTGGTGAATTCTTCTGCTAAAAGGCCCTCTCCCAGTAGCAGAGGGGAAAGGGTGAGGACAAAGGGGTGAAGAGGACAAATACCTTTATTCTACTACTTGTATTTTTTTAACAAAAATTGTAAGACTCAAACATAATGTTTTATAAAGTACCCCCCCCCAAATAAAGATGGTATGAATATTTTCTCCATTTCATTAAATCTAGAATCAGAATATGTTTAACCCATAAAAAGCTCTTGGAGAGCATGCAGTTGAGCTCCCTCATTATACAGATGGAAAAACTGAGGCCCAGAGAGCGCATAGATGGGAAAGGATTCTGATTCCATCCAGAGCCAAGTCGGAGACCCTCAGCCTTCCCCATAGGACCCTTAACTCTTGGCAGAGGAGAGCTGTCCTCGGTGCTCAGAGCTGGGACACCTGCTCCCACTGCTTCCAGCTCACTGAAATCTCTGGCCTCCAGGCCTGAGCACCTCTTCACCACTGTTTTCTAAATTTGCTGGATTCGTGCTGGGCATGTGCCTAGAAATTAAAAGGTTAAAGTTTCTTTCAAGGAATAGTCCCCCGATTCTTTCACCATGCACCTGAGTTTGGGATAAGGGCTGGTATCTGGATGCCAAGTCATGCCCAAAGGACTACCCATTAAGGCAGAACTTCTTTCTTTCTCTGTTTTTACCAAGAAAACCAGTATAATATTGAGTTTAAAGTGTAAACTTTGGAGTCAAACTTCTTGGATTCAAGCCCACTTGCCACTTATTGGCTGTGGAACTTTGGGCAGATGACTTAACCTTTCTGTGCTTCAGTTTCGTTATCTATAAAATGGGGACAATTATAACAGTGAATGCCTCTGAGGGTTGTTTGGAGAACTAAATAAGCGCAGGCTCCCAGGGGCCCATACCAGGTTCCTCAGAGTAAAACCCAAATCCTACCCACGGCTACAAGGCCCCGGACATTCTGGCTCTAACACTCTCCTCTGGTTTACTGCACCCCAGCCACACTGGCCTCCTTGCATTCCACAAACACACTAACCACTCCCGCTCAGGGCCTTTGCTCTTTCTGTTCCCTCTGCTAGGGTGCCCTTGGCCATATCCTGTTGGCTCCCCCTCTCTCTTCCTTCTTGGTTCAGCTCAAATGCCATCTTTCTTGTTGACCCTACATAAAGTAACACCTCACTCCCTCTGTCCACCTTCCCTGCTGCACCTTCTCATCACACTTAGGGCCAGCGGATGTATATGCACGCGAGTGCCCTTACTTGCTTAGTGTCTAATCTCCCTATGGAAATTCAGTTCCGTGAGAATGGGAGCTTGGCCTTGTTCCATGCTGTACTCTCAGATACAGAGAAGATATTTATTGGTTGAATAAATGAGTAATATCTAGAATGGGGGTGGTGGGGAATCTAAAGAATCAAAAAGTGGGAAAAGGCCAGCTTTCAGACAAAAGAAGGTAGATAGACTTCCTCTGATTTATAAGCTTACCAGGTTCTTTTTAGCACTCACAGCTTGGGTGTTTTTATAGCCTTATCTTGCTAATCTACTGCTCTATCTATTTTCACCTATGTCACAGCAAAACTCCTTGAGAACATGGATCATAATTTCTACTTCTCTATATGCAGTCTGTGCTTTATTCACAGCCCTAGCTCTAGGGGGAACAAGCACCAAGATCAATTAGCAGCACCTGCCATGGCTGCAGAAGGAGGGCGTGGAGGCATCTCTCCATGTCTCTGCTGACCCAATGCAACAGAAAGAACATAGAGACACAGCAGTTGTCCCGAGCTCCAGGTTCAAGTCCTGGAACCACCACTCAGTAGTTATGTGAGCTAGAGCAATCACAAGATTTCTTCACGTTTCAATTAAGGGTAGTATGAGGAATAAAGAGAAAACTTAAAGTGCCAAGCATGTACTCGGCATATAGCAGGCTCTCAACTGAACCACATGGGCTCCAGTGGCCAGCAAAACCTCCATCGGTAAAAAGAGACTCACCCGTTGCCAACAGAAGAGCCAAGTTCATGAGGAGTCATGAGCCGGTGATAAGGGATATGCCGTTTTCTGGGGCAGAAGAACAGCTGATACATGATACGGGGTATCCGATGTGTGCAGGTGAGTGATCCGGGGACTGTGGCAGGCTCTGGTGTCTGTGCCTTGTCAGAGGGCACACACTACTCTCCCTGAAACCCCCAAGGGAATATATGTGAACGCCATAAAAGTGTACACAGTTGCACAGGCGAGTACCTCCCGGCTTCCTCTTATTTCTGGGTTCTTTCTTCACCGTGTGCTGAGGAGCCCCCATCCATGAGATCCTTTTGGCCTCTTTCTTAAGCCACGTGCTTCTTAAAGCTGTTCTGAACTTTTCCTTTGTTCTTGAGTTTCTGATCCCTCCTCACCCCATCTGTTCTCACCCCACTGGCTTTACTTCCTCTTTCACAGCAGCTTGTGTGACTACAATTGCACAACATTTCCCTGCTGTTTGATTGACAACACATGAGTTAGGTGAAGGACAAGCCTGTAGACTCAGGGAGGAAGCTCGTGGGGACCCTCTTCTGTTCACAGAAGTTGAACATCCGGGTTGCTGATCCTCATGAAGAGGAACAGGGAGATTCAGAGATAGCATCACACAGACAAACGCATACCCTTCCCAGGCTCTTTTGGGGGTATACCAGCTACCGACATCTCCCACAATGTCCCCCACCCCAAGAAGTGGCATGTCCCCTGGTCTCAGATCCTCACGTATCCCACCCCTCCTCCTGCCCTGGTCCTGGTAAAAGGGAACTGAAGGGCTGTGTTAAAACAGGAAAGAAATGAAAGGGTCTCTCTCTCCAGAGCAACGCCCTCCTCCACCTCCCATTCCCACCGGTCCTCAGTGTCTGAGTCTCATGGGCTCAGGCCCACCGAGCAAAAAGCTCCGAGGGAATAGTAAGCATGCTTGGGAGGAAGGAGGGTCCTGAAAAGCAGGAGGATCCGAATAGTTCATTCCCAATTTTTCCCCTCAAGGCCACTTTCAAATGTTCTATTCTTTATTTCTCTTTTTACCTATCATTGCCATTGACCTAGACTCCTTACACTTGAATTAAAGGAGAGGAGACTGAGAGAGCCACAGCAAGGACAAGAGAAACCATAGGTGGGTGTGCGTATGTGGGGGTGCAGGGGGGCAGGGCGGGGAGAAGGGTAGACACACATTCACTGACCATGAATGAGCCAGGTGAGGCGCTAGGCCATTGGCTACATTTGCTCTTTTCAGTGCCTCCTGGAGCCACCCTGGAGCCTAAGATAAAGGGGAAAATCAGTTAATACTGGTCCTGTATTTACAATTTTGATGTTTTTTTTAATCATAATTTTTTTGCATGGATTTTGAGCTTTTTAAATAGTGCATTCCATACTGTCCATATTCATCCCTGAGAATTTTGGCACTTCCTTACACTTGCACTTGCTTCGCCCTAGTCCTGGCCCTGGTTATATCGAGCCCAGCAGATGTTGCTGGTCACCAGGTTGGTGGTTTCTTTAGGAAAGAAAGGCTGGAGGCTATAGAAATAATCTAAAGGAATCAAACTCTATTTTTAAATACACAATTTCAGTCCTACGAAAATAAATGGCAGAAAGAGAGAAATTCTCTACCACGAACATAAACCAAATTGTAGACACAATTCCCATCTCTCATTTTCTAACAAAGCTGGGTACTTCACCTTACCAGCCACCAGGTGTCTCTGCAAACTCCCTGCAGGCCCCTGCACAGGAGGCTGAGGATGACGTCATGAGTGAAATCTGTGGTTTGTAACCAGCTCTAAAGAGAGAGGGCACACAAAAACAATTTGAAATGTAACAGGCTCCAATACCAAATACTTCAGAGATCCATCCACTTATTCAGGATTTCTGGCTAATAGCTAAATGCTGATTATAATAGCTCTTCCCCTATCTCTGAGATAGGTTATTAGAGTCAGTTTGTCAATATACTTTCTAGAATATTCCTGCATTATTCTTTCCTCATCCCTCAGCCAGATTCATCTCTGACAGAGCACAACCCTGCCAGACCCAAACAGAGCATCCCAGGAGCGTCTCAGAGGAACCATCTTCACCCAGCTTGATCTCTCTACTCCTTCAGGGCAGGGGATTTTGAAAATAGTTTCAAACCATTTGTTTATGTTTTTTTAAAAAATAAAATAAAATAAACTCATGAAGAGTTATGGTCAAGGTCCAGAAAACAAAGTGGTGGGAAAGCTGTCTCATTCTTCAAAGTAAGTTTACTTAATTGTGTTCTCAACCCCTCCCTTCGCGCCACCTCACCCTGCCCTCAAAGGGAAGTGTAGACAGTGAACACACTACTTCCTCTGACCTAATTTTTTTTCTGAGTTTATTCTCCGAATCAGCCCCTTTTCATTCAACACAAAGAAGGACCATAGATACTTCCTCCAAGGGTTCGGGAAAGTGACTCTTGTGGGAAACCTCCGTGATGATGCTTCTTGCCTTTCCCCAGCTTGTCCAGAAGCACCCGCTCTTCGTCTTTAAATTGCTACAGACAGTGGTCACAACAGGGACGATGGGTAGCGCTCATGGAGTGCTCACCACGTGCTCGTCAGGGTGGTATGGGGACCTCACAAACTTGACGGCCTTGAAAGGTCTTCGCTCTGGGTTTCCATGACCGTCAAGCTCCCCTGGTTTTCTCCTAGCTTCCTGGGCCATTCCCCCTCGTCTGCCCCCTTCCCATATTGGATTCCTCACATTCAGTCCCAGGCCCTCTTCTCTTGGTCCATGTAGCAAAAAACTCTTAGCAGTTAAAGTCTCAAATTCACATGAAAAATATGCTCATCGTCATTAATCATCAGAGAAATGCAAATTAAATGAGGTACCACCTCACCCTTGCCAGAATGGCTATCATCAATAAATCAACAAACAAGTGCTGGGGAAAAAGGAACCCTCTTGCACTGTTGGTGGGAATGCAGACTGGTACAGCCATTATGGAAAACGGTGTGGAGTTTCCTCAAAAAACTAAAAATGGAACTGCCATTTGACCCAGTGATCCCACTTCTTGGAATATATCCTAATGAAAGGGTTAGCGAGCTAGCTTAATTAGGAAGGTGTAGGGTAGTGGTTCTCAACCTTCCTAATGCCATGACCCTTTAATACAGTTCCTCATGTTGTGGTGACCCCCAACCATAAAATTATTTTCGTTGCTACTTCATAACTGTAATTTTGCTACTGTTATGAATCGTAATATAAATATCTGATATGCAGGAGGTATTTTCATTGTTACAAATGGAACATAATTAAAGCATAGTGATTAATCACAAAAACAATATGTAATTATATATGTGTTTCCCGATGGTCTTAGGCGACCCTGTGAAAGGGTTGTTCGACCCCCAAAGGGTCGCGACCCACAGGTTGAGAACCGCTGGTTTAGGGAATGAAGACAGCCCATGGGGAGGAATACATAGATGGGAGACATGAAGACGCCAGGGTGCCTATCTTACTTGTACAGAGGACAGAGCAATGCCACAGGCAGATGGAAACATTTCCGGCCTAAACAATTAAAACAGCCATAAACCAAGGACAGACAGGGGCATCTCTGGCCTGAGATATTAAGGTGACCATAAGTTAGGCCAAAAGTAGCCCTGACCTGAGTAGCTGGGAGAGCTGTAAGATAAGGCATCTCTGCCAGCACAACTGGGAGAAAACCACAAGATAAATCAAAAGTGACTCCAACCTAAACAGGTAAGATGACAAAATGAGGAAAAGTGCGGACGTGGGGGTCCTGGGAGCTGATTACAGGGCTAAGGTTCCACGGCAGAAAAGGAGGGTCTCCAGCCTCTTTAATGCCTCAAGACAAAGAAAGCAGCGGCCACCCTTCTTAGGGGTCCCTCTGTCTGTCCAGGAGGGACAGAGTCTCAGGATTAGGAACTCAGAGGACACCTTTCTCAGGTGGCCCCTCTGCTCCTCTGAGCCAAGGGGAGCAGAGTTGCAGGCTTAGAATTTAGAATTAAGGTTTAGAGGTAGTATTTGCTTGCAATACAGTTTCTGTACTTTTCACCTATCACCTTTTGTCCGTGGCTTCACTAAGAAGCCAGAAACACCAATCAGAGAGAGTGGATGCACCCCTATGTTCATAGCAGCACACTTTACAGTAGCTAAGATCTGGAAACAGCCCATGTGCTCATCAGTAGATGAGTGGTTAAAAATGATCTGGTACATTCACACAATGGAATACTATGCAACTGTAAAAAAGAAGGATCTCTTACCCTTTGAGACAGCATGGAGGGACCTGGAGAATATCATGCTAAGTGAAATAAGTCAGTCAGAGAGAGACAAGTATCATATGATCTCACTCATATGTGGAATCTAATGAACAAAAGAAACTGATAAACAGAGTAGATCAGAGACATGGAAACATGGAACAGAATGCAGAATCCAGAGGGAAGGCGGGGGAGAGTGGGTGGGTGGAGGGTAATCAACCAAAGACCTTATATGCATATATGCATAACCCATGGACACAGGCAGTGGGGCGGTGAGGGCCTGGGGTAGGGGGTGGGGATGGGCTGGAGGGGGTCAATGGGGAAGGGAAAAGGGGAACATCTATCATACTTTCAACAATAAAGATACATTTTAAAATATAAAATAAAGTCTCAAGCTATAAGAAAAGAGGAAGCCATGGTGGTTCTGATAAATTAGTTGCATGTCCTGAAGAGGAGTGCTAGCTGCAGGCTTGATCTCTCATCTCCAGGTAGATGAATTCTTTACAGCAGTGCTGCTCTAAATTAAAGTGCAATCATCTCACAGCGGGGGTGCCTTGTTAAAATGCAGGTCCTGAGTCAACTTATCTGATGGGGCTGAGATTCTTCATCCCACCTGATGCGGGCGCTGCCGGTCCATGGACCACACTTTGAGAAGCAAGGCTCCGGAAGACTCCATCATTATAATGGGGTACCGATAAAGCACACCTAAGTTGCCAGCTACCCCACTGACCAGATCAATTATAACAACAGCTGAAATGTGGGAAGGGGAGTACAGATTGTGCAAATGTTAAAGAATACATGCTTCTGATTTCCAAAATTCAGTATCTATTTGAACTTAAAAGGGATTTTAAAATTCTGCAACACCAGAAATAAGGCTTGATTATTTTTAAAAGGGCTCAATCTAAAGACTAACTGTGCAGGTTTGAATTGCTAGGCCTGGTAACCCCTCCAAGAAGCAATGACTTGAGAACTCAGAATCTGCAGCTTTGGTTAATCTGATTCTTTTGGGGGAGGGGGGGAGAAGGGATGATTAGTATGATTATTGCAACCATAAACTGACAGAGAAATAGGAATCCCAGAAAGGTATACAATAAAAATAAGAATTAAAATATGGATCACAATTAGCATGATGAACAAACAACCTTAAATCCATGGTAGTAGCAATTTTAAAATACATTTTTCATAATAACTTCTGTAATCATTGTGACAATTAGTGTGTGTTTTGTCAGCTTTTTAAGGTGTTTGATGTATGCATTTAAGAAAATCCAATGTCTTCATGTTGTGATTTTAATTAAATAAACAGAAGAACTTAATTTAAGCTTGCAATCAACGCTTAAATGTTTGGAGAAAATTCTTTCCTTAAAATCATAAGTTTTGCTTTATTAGTTATAGACATACTGTATGAGGAGAGAGATGCTGGCTGTTGAATACTTAAAAGAATGCTAATTGTTGAATAAATTTATGAGATCATCCTGTTGGCCTTCTTTGAGGGTAACCCACACTCCAAGTTCCCCATCAGAGCAAGACTTCCGCAGGTCCTTCTCCCTAGAAGGGGCTCCCCTCGTGCTCACATGTCTATTTGTGTCGTAGTTAGCTTACTGACTCTCCTACCCTGGACTGTGAACTCTCTGCCACTGTAATCCTTAGAGTCCTAAAAAGTTACCCCATGTGCAGATGAGGAAGGAGGCTTGGGAGTTTTGAGTAGCACGTCTCAGTAGCAGAGCTGGGATGGACCCAAGGCTTCTCTTACTCACGAGCCCTGGATCATTATTATTACGCTGAATCCAATCAACAGGACTCAAGTGCTGAACGATCATGCTGCTCAGTAGTCTGCTGCGGTCTGCAGACACAAAGCCACACAATGACAGAAACTCCCAGAGCTTTCCCCAAAGAGACTGGGACAAATCTCTAAACACTGCTTCCTTGAAGGATCCATCACGGGAGAATATACAGCTATAATGTAGGCCTTAATATACATTATGTCACCTGCCTGTTACAGAATCCATGCACTGATGAGGAATTGGAGGCCGTGTAAAGTGATATTTCCTAACTTTTTAAAAATATATTTCTTTATTGATTTCAGAGAGAAAGGGAGAAGGAGCGAGAGATAGAAACATCAATGATGAGAGAGAATCATTGATCAGCTGCCTCCTGCACAACCCCCACTGGGGATCGAGCCCACAACCCAGGCATGTGCCCTTGGCCGGAATTGAACCTGGGGCCCTTCAGTCCACAGGCTGATGCTTTATCCACTGAGCCAAGCTGGCTAGGGCGATATTTCCTAACTTTTACATGGAGAGGCAGGAAAGCACAGTCGTTAATTGCCTCTATAAGGATGCTGGGCCCAGACTATCTGCCGCTTTTGAGCTGAGTGGCCTTGGGTACGTCACTTATACTCTCTGTGTTCAATTTACTCATCGTCAAAGGAGGCATATAAACGGAATTACCATGAAGTTGTTCTGAGAACGGAATGAAGTAATACACATAAAGAGCTTAAAACAGCCCTGACCGGCTTGGCTCAGTGGATGGAGCATCGGCCTGCGGACT